AAGAGCCCCTCTGCTCTTGCTGGTCAGGTGCAGTGGTTCGGGAACATGCCTCAAGAGGGGCCACTGCATCCTGGGATGCGGGGGGACTTCAACTTGGGCAAAATATTTTTGGAGAGAGGCCACACCTTAATGGAACAGGAGTGAAATTAGGCAGACTAGAGATAGTTCTGCTATGGAATAGCATAATTTTAAGATGAATAATGAGTGTTTTATGCCACTTAAAAGTTGTTAACATGTAGCCAATCTAGGGGTTGAGAGCTCCAGGATGCTGCTTAAAATTACCAAGTACCAAGTAACAGAGCCTTTTTTTTTTTTTTACTGTCAAACAAGCACTAAAAGAGTAGCTCATTGGAGCATTTGGATTATCTCCTACATTTGTGAGAAATGTCACAGGAACTTTAGCTTCTTTACAGATGCTAAAGGAGGAGATGCCAGCAGGAAATCCAGCATAACAATTCATCGAAAGGACTGCACTTCTCTCAACGCAGAAGAGGGGATGTACATCCAAGCCATGGAGTGGAACCCACAATTTTAGGTTCCAGAGTTTAAGCATACTGCCAACCGAGCCACACTGTCATACAATTTGATGAATTAGCTATTTCATTTTCAAAGTACTGAGCTTCATTTGGTTTGACCATGGGCAAACTGTTTTTCTTAGCACATTCCATAATACAGCACTTGCCAAGGGGCCTTGCACCATCAGGAGCTCTGGGATGCATTGTGTGAAAGAAGGCAAGATACCCTCCCCTATGGCTTTTGGGCAAGAGGGAATGGGATGCGTACACCTTTTCACAGGACAAAGAACACTTTCCTTTCCAGTGTGGCCAGTTCAGCTGGTTAGCTTTGGGGGACTGGAGGGCACCTTTGGGGAAGTTAACAACACTATCAGTACTAACTTGAAGAGCTCTTCAGCTCTGTGAGCACAAGGACTCAAACTGTGTGCCCTTTCCGTTTGCCTTCACATAACATCACGCATGACCTGTCTCCTGCAGGTTTTTACCCATGAAAGTGGCAGTGACAAGATAAGAGTGAAGGGGTACCAAACTTATGGCCCATGGGCCAGAACCAGTCCATGGAGCCCTGTTGTGAGGCCCATGGGGCTGGTAGAGGGGCTAGGCAAGAGCATACAGGACTTGCTGCCTAAATTCCAGACACAGAGCCCTGTTAGGCACATGCATCGGCAATGGGGGAGGTCGGAGGCAAGTAATGGCTATGCTAACCCCCACTGTTGCTTTAAGATCCAGCCAGTGAGAAGCTTTGCAGTCTGGATCTGCCCTAGGACATAGGGTAAGTTTGACACTCCTGATGTAATGGATAACATGAATTCTTTGTTAATTATTTATTATGTATACTACAAAGGGCCCAGCTGGGACAGAGAAGGTGCTGTGGTGGTCAAGATAAGAGGTACGAACTTAATGGGTTTTAGCAGGGAATGTGGGGGAAGGGAATAGGATCTGAGAGATGTTACGGAGGAAGGAAAAACAATATTTCTATATTACCAGTCTGTGAGGGCAAGAAAGAGAGAAAAATCAAAGACAATCTATGAGCTGTGGTGCTTTTCATCATGGCATTGCCAATGCTGATATCTAGAGTATATTTAAAAGGAATGAAGTTTTAAGGAGAATGACAGGTAAGAAGCAGAGGTGAACTTGTTAGCTATTGGTATAAGATGGTCACTGAAGTAATGCAAGTATATAACATCACCTAGAAAAAAAAGCTGTAGATGAAAGTAAAGAGTGGGCCAAGGACGAAGTCCTGTAGAACCACCATAGAAAGTGAAATGAAGTGGAGAAGAACTCACCTCACCAGAGCAGATGCTGAAGGAATAGCTAAAGAGGTTTCTTTGGCCTCTGATTATTTTCTGTGCCCTGAAGCTAAGTCAAAGTCTATAAACCACAGAGGCCAGCCTTCACTCTCGCACCTGGCAATACTACATTAGATTAGCCCAACCTCATTCTACCTGCCTTCCCTTTCATGTGAAGATAGCAACTTTTTTGTAAACACTAACTGTTTTACCACTTCCCTGCCAGTCCGATATTATTACATCAATTTTATGGAACAAGGAAGAGATTTGACTAAGTGACTCACTCAGGGTCACATAATCCAGGAGTACTAGCTCCACTCACTACATTAAGGGTTATTTTGTCTCAGTAGCAATTCCAGAATGCTGGAAATAAAATAAATAAATAAATAAATACAGGGTAAGAATCCAAGCACACACTAATACAGCTCCAACTTATTTATATACATTGAATAACTCTTTAAGGCAAGTACAGAGAGCGGCCAAGTTCACCACTGGTATACATGCATTTTAAATGTATTTTAAGTATGTTATTTTAAATATATTTCTATATTTTAATAAATTCACAAAAGGCACATTGATAATTTAACCTTCAGACACCTGGGTAGCATGGGAGAGATGACCAAGCTACATAAGTTTGCATGAGAAGCACAATACTAACAGATTTAAGTATTAACAGTATTAAAAAAATGGGTGCCATGTTAAAAGCCAAGCTTTTAAGAGTTCATGAAGTAGAATAAAAAACTGCAAACGTATTTTAATTGTGAAAATGCAGGATTATGTGTGCCTTGGTACTTGTTACTTGCATAATATACTGTACTAATCAATGTGTGGTGGTGAGGGCAGCAAGAGACTCCTCAAGCAGTAGACATAATTCAATTGATTTCTACAAGAAACTTCTCTTTGAAGCACTGGGGAACGTAGCGTTTAAAAAGAATGATGTTGTAACAAAAACATGCAAATAGTTAACTCTAAAAGAATGTGGAGTTTCACAGATCTCAAAGTGCGTCACCTGACAAGAATGATCTACACATCAAATTGAAAAGGGAATGCAACACTAATGGACTGTAAAGCTTTACAGACATTGAGCCAATACTAGCATATTGTAACTAACTGTACCCTTTAGGAACGTGCTGTTTTTATTCTCTATTGAAAGAATGAGCACTGACCTATATGTCAAGTTGGCTATTCTTTTTTAAATCTGCATTTTTTTTAAAAGAGTAGTTTAAGCTCAGTATAGATGAGGTCTATTTTTAAGTGAAATATCAGTTTCCTGACTCATCAGTAAACTTATCTGACTTACATAATATACTGTCCAGATCCATGTCCCAGCTAGGTCCTCTCTTGTCAGCTGTGATGTCATAATGAACACAGGCTCAAGGGTATCAGGTGTCGAGCCTGGAATAGTCACCCTGACTTCGGTAAAACTAAAATTAAGAGAGAGACAGAAAGAAAAATAATTTGATTCTTTGTGTCTATAGTAATGTACATTGTGTGGCCTCTCACAGAAGCCATAGCAGTAGATGATACAGTGTAAAGGCAGGCTTGGCCAAAATAGGGTTACCATATTTCCAGTTCCAAAAAAGAGGGCACCTGCCACACGAGTGCACAGTGGGGATGGGGGAGGGGAGATATGATTGTGAGGGGCGACATGCAGATGCCCAGGCCCTGCCCATTCCATTGCTTGTTACTCCCAAACCAAAGTCCCTCCCCACCCTGGCCCTGCTGCTGCTCCTCACTCCTGACCTGGGCACCCCTGGCCCTGTCAGTGCCCTTCACTCCCAACCCACAGCCCCCTGCCCCACATTCCAGACTCACAGTCCCCCTGCCCTCACTTCCAAGACACAGCCCCCTGCTCCCTCTGTCTCCTGGCTGTTCTGCCCCTGAAACTTTTTTCCAACAGTGGGCTGCTGCCTACAATCCGGCTTCCTCCCCAAGTTGCAGTCCCACACCCCAGGGTGACCAGATGCTGCTGCAAGAGGGAGAGGAAAAGGCAGGTGCTAGGTCCCTGTGGCAGAGAAACTAAACTGAACTTGGTACGTGCCAAGACCCTGTGGACACCTCTTCTGCCACCGGGCGGCTACGCGGTTCCCTGCTGCAGCCTGAGCACCTGGACAGCTTCTCCCAGAGTCAGGAGGTATCTGACCCCTACACACAGCTGAGCTGAGCAAAATCCTGGACATTTGATCAGATTTAAAAAAAACGCTCAGATGGAGATTGGAGGATCAACAAAGAGGACATGTCTGGGAAAACACGGACATATGGTAACCCTAGTTTAACCTGCCCACGGTTGCTATTTCATCTTAATCTCCATTAATTAGAGGTTTGTTTATGCCCTGAAGTACAAGTTCCAAATTTTACTCTTCCTGCTATTTTCAAAGGAAAAGCTGCCAAAATCAGTTCAATTGTGTGAATTTGAGACAAAATGCAAAAACCTTAAATTATATGGTTTTCATCTTTCATTGTGAACTTTTTACAAAACTCTTTTTGAAGGGATGAGTGCTACAGTTGGCATTATCCACAGCACTTCTCATAGCATTTTAGTACTATTTGGAAGATTCCCTTCCAGATGTGCTATTCTGATGCAAGTATTGATCTAGCTTGAGACTCCTGCACCAAAGTACCAGATCTACGTCTTCAGTATGTCCCTGACATGATTAACTAATTATTTGGCTCATAATTTTTCATAAATCAGGCACATGTCTATTGTATATATACCATCATCAATAAGACCGCAGCTGGAGTATTGCATCCAATTCTGGGCTCCACACTTTAGAAAAGATGTGGGGGAACTTGAGAGAGTCCAGAGGAGAACCAAGCTCATGATTAGAGGTCAAGAGAGCAGGCCTTATGAGGAGAGGCTGAGAGGCATCGGACTCTTCAGCCTGGAGAAGTGAAAGCTCAGGGGTGACTTGGTGGCAGCCGATAAGTATATAAGGGGTGTGCATCAGGAACTGGGAGAACATCTGTTCATTAGGGCACCCTGTGGGAAGACAAGGTCTAATGGTCACAAACTGCTGGAAGATTGGACATAAGGAAACATTTCTTTACTGTCCGAGTCTTTAGAGTCTGGAATAGACTCTCCCCAGAAGTGATGCAAACACTTACTTTGGATACCTTCAAGAAACACCTGGATGCTTATCTTGCTTGGATCATCTGACCCCAACTGACTTCCTGCCCTTTGGGCAGGGAGCTGGACCTTCCAGCTCTAATGTCTATGAAATCTATGATTTCATAATGCCATTATGGTAAAACAATTTCTCTGTTGTATACACAGTAACTGAAGAATGTACAGAAAAGTACAGTACAATCAAGGATGTCTAGTACAATGATGTTAGTTTCAAGTGATTTGCTGTGAAAAACAGAATTGGAGATAACTATAAACTAACATAATTGATACCAGTGTATCAAAAACATCATTGATACAATCAAGTGATACATCAAAACTATTTAAACATTCATACTGTACAACACATGAATAATGAACCACAGGCAAAAATAGATCATATGCTTTTCAAAACTTAAACAATTGCTTACACACTAACTTTGTCCTCCAGAAATGATCACATATCAAATTCTCTCTTAGTATCATTCAAAGGTCCTGCTCTAATAGTTCAGCACACTTAGTATTCCCCCACTTGGCTGTTAAATCCAATTCCATATATTATGGTGCTCAAACAAGGGGTTTTAAAACTCTATAAAGAATAGCAACAAAAGCAAGGTGAACAATGATGAACTGATGAATGATGATCTGAAGAAAGGTGACCTTTAAGAACAGGGAACTAGGAATGTCTAGGTTAAATAAGATTGCATCTCTACCTCTTCTATAATATGATTTTTTGTTATCATGAATAATTTAAGTATGGCAA